GAACGTTTGGGACCCCTCCTCGACGCGTTCGGACGTTCGGCCGAACGCGGAACCAAAGAAAAAAAAAAATTCTGAAAAAAAATAATAATGCAAAAGAATAAACTAAACAATATTTGCCTCAATAGTACATCCAAATTCCTTACCAAATTTGAACTAAAAATCAAATACAAAAAATAAATAATATTAATGAAAATAAGAAAAAATAAAACGAGAACGAAATTATTGCATGGGCGAGCAAGTTTTTGACACCGCTATCTTTGGCGATTTTTCATTTGTTTTTGGCGTAGTCAAATGCCATGAAATTTTATACATATGTATCTTATATATTAGAGAACCTACAAATAAAGTTTGAAAAAATGATAATTTTTTTCAGGCCCCGAAATAAAGGGAAAACAAAAAGTGAAAAGAGAAAAGAAACAAATTTGTAAGTGGGAAAGCAAGTTTTGACACCACCATCTTTGCCGATTTTTCATTATTGGTTGGCTTCGCAGAATGACTTCAAAATTGAGAGACAGGTAGCCTATATAACAAAGAACTCAAAAAACAAAAATCAGAAAAACATATAACTTTTTAGGTACCAAAATAATGTTTTGAGGGGTCCAAACCCCTTCGAGTTTGGGTCCCGTACGGGGACCCGAACACCCGAACGTTCGGGGGTCAGCTTAGGGGCCTCCGTACGTTCGGTCTGGCATATATATATAGATAGATAGATAGATAGATAGATAGGTAGATAGATAGATAGATAGATAGATAGATAGATAGATAGATAGATAGATAGATAGATAGATAGATAGATAGATAGATAGATAGATAGATAGATAGATAACAGGATAAGATCGAGCCGCGACATTCATTGCGGCACCGAAGTCCAACTCGGTTTCTCTTTGCCACAAGATGCTGCCTCCCTATCAGGAAGCACGACCCAGACGCCCGACTCAGTCAGTATATCCCGGGACAACTCTGAGTCGTATGTTTCCGTGTCGTGTCGGGGTTCGGGTCCTGACGAGGATCATAACTCTGTTGGCTGTGAAGGACGAAATTCTCAAAAGTCGAGAAACGGCGGCATGAACCCGACCCCCAACCTTGTACAATGGCTCTCTCTCTGAACCGCCAGCCGCCTTGCACAGGTTCGACAACTCCTTGCCGCACATCGAGTGATCCCTAGCCCAGTGATCGGCCAGGTGTTGCACATGTGAGGCCAACACATCACCGTCGTCATCCCGCGCCCGTTCGCGCATCCGGCAAGCACCATACAACCATTCCTTCGCCTCCTCCGCCGCATTGCAATGCAAACCCTCCAACGCGTCGATCTCGACAACGTCATCTTCCAACGGCTTCCCTGCTTCGTTGGGAAACAACACACCCCACACTATCTCCACAAGCTCGTCCTTCTTTTTCGTTGCAGCCCCAGGCACGCGCACACCCTTCGTCTCGAGCCACACTTCCGGCTCCTTCTTTGTGAAACACCTCACCTCGCGAACGTGCTTGCAAGCGCCCACCACAGATGGCTTGAAAGTCTTAGTGGCACGCACTGCCTCTCGCAAGCGTTTCACGAAAGTCTTGGCTTTGTGCCACATACACTTCTGCGAGTCAATGTTCATTCGTCGCAGGATGACGTCAACCGCACCACAGTCGTCATGCACAACCTCAACGATTATGAGGTTATGTTCGTCCTTCAATCGATGAAGGAGTTTCTCCACGCACTACGTTTCCAGCCTCCACGACGACTCCCCCCCCCTCAACGTCGTCTCCGTACCCACGATCATCCCAGACTTCAAGTCCAGCGCCGTCACCATACAATGTTGCGCGTCACGGGACGAGTCGTAACGGCCGTCGACCAATACGACAACCGGATCGTTAGATCTGGGTAAACGTGCAACGACCTTGTTGAAGCTCCTTTGTGTAACTCGTTCCACGTGTCGCAGCCACTGTCTCGAACCTTTGCCTTAATCACGGAAAAAATTGTAGAATGTTTCTTTCCTGACCTTCTTCATTCCGAGGCCCATCAAGAGGTTGTTCAGTTGGGTGTGCGTCATCCCCGCAGCCACAGTGGAGTGGAACAACTGTGTCTCCACCCTCGAATCTCTCACACCACCTTTGACAACCTTCGCGGAATTCCAATGCCAAGTGCACCCTTTCCCGCACATGAATTGCAACTTGCAAATGTGACAAGGATAGGATATCTTCTCTATCGTCACCTCCACCTCTTTCCCGTGTCGAGGACACGTTTTCTCGAACATGCCGAGAATCTGCAAAAGTTTCACAGGTTCAAGAAACACGACATCAGGTCTCGCAGGTGCATCCCACATGGCCATGTGGTCCCTCACCGTCAACCTTTCAAACATAGGACCATTGTCTGGAAATCCATCTTTGTCATCGCACCATCTCAAAGCATTACTTCGAGGTCGACCACCTTGCGACCGCGGAGTGCCAGTCGACGCCGACCCCCCCCCCGCAAGAACCTCCTCGGCCAGACGACTGCTCGCTCGGCCCGTACGTCGCCATAAGGTCATCGACGCGGCTAGCACTCCACTCGAGGAGTTGATCGAACACGTTTTCATAAGAACAATGTTTTTTTCTACCGTCTTCCGAGCTACGAGCAAGGGACGACAACTTCTTGCCCATCGCCCTCGCGATCGAACTCAAGCGCAGCTGCTGATCACGTCTACATCGCACCCAATGACTGTTGACTGACGGAGGTGTAGTAGACCTGACCCTGTGCGACGCAGACGAGAACCCGACTTCACTATCGTCATACGGCGAAACCCCATCGGGTGCATGATCCGTGGAGACAGGAGTGCGGGACGGTGGCCGCAGTCTATCATTGAAAGATTGCACCTCTTCCGACTCATGAAGGGGGGTCGACGCAATGACACCCAAACCGGGAACTCCACCGGCGCTGTCAGGGGGCGAGCACCGCAACAACGGTGGCCGAGGAAATGTGGACGAAGGCACACATGACGCGCCATGGAAAGGGGCATGCGAGGGGTCTGGACGACCGTGACAAACCCCATAAATAGAAGCACTTCCGGAAGTTGGGGTCGGCAACACCCCAGCTAGCAGCCCAAGAGGCGACGAAAGAGGAGGGCGCATTGGAATTACAGTGGATTGCGCACAAGGAGACTTCATCGGATCCCCAGAGAACGTTGGCAGAGGAGGAATTGCAACAATGAGACTGGGCAGATGACTCGGGAAAGGAGTATGCGTGACAGTTCGCGAACTCGCGACAGGAGGAAATGGGACGACCGACATCCTCTCGTCCAAACGCTGCCTGGTCGCTGGTCTCGCAAGTACAACATCGCTTTTACTTCGTTCGCGCGGATCCAAAAGCCCTCGCGCACGACCGCGCAAAATGTCGTGGTACAATGGAGAGCCTGCCGGGGTGGTGAATGTGGCCGACGGCGATGCGAACGCCGCAGGCGTCGGAAGCAACGGGGAACTCGGCGACGTCGGCGCACCCGCAGGAGACTGTTGGCGTTCCATGTTCAACCACACAGCGGTGACAGC